AGATCGCATGTCAATAGATCGGCCTTTTCTGTGGTCTACTTAGGGTACGCATGATAAGAAATGATAACAGAATCATAATAAAAGATAATAATAGTAAATATACCGAAGAATAATCGTTGTTGGTGACATTTGGTTCAGTGACAATTAAATTAATTTTGTTACAATATATCAATCGATAAGGTTATACGGTGACCTTAACTGATATCCTCTTTGTCCCCATCATTTGTTCTATATATAAGTAATTTCACTGCTATTGCAACTATTGCTGCCATCAATGCCGGAGCGGTAATGTGGTTGCAGTATATCTATTTTGCTTCATATGTATTAACCTTATCTCCCTTATCGTTAAGGTTAGCTATTTAAAGCATTACCTGGAATGATGACAATATCGCCAACCTCACTAGCTAACCACTGGTTTCCTCGCGGGCATTCAATTGCGTGAGAGTCAACGTCCTTGAAAGGTGATCGTAAAAAAGCGACTTTGCAAGGCCAGAAGTTCAGATAAGATTGATGCAACGCCTACTGAAATAGAATTGCCCGTCATGATGAGCTGGAGAAATCCGTGTCCCTGTTCTGATGTACGGATTTCCCATGGGGAAAAACTTTAGTATTTCCAAAAGTTGAACAACATTCATTTTAACAGTTGAAGCAAAATGCCTTCAAAGATCTCAGGGAGGCCTGTCTTTGGAGGTTGGATTAACTTGCAAAATATGCAACATCGGTTGGTTTCACATCTTGAATTAGACAAAATAAAATATGGAAGACAGTCACATTGCAATGATAGTTAACATATCACTTAATTACTATATAAATTCTTACAATTTATTTCCTCACGAATTACATTTTTTTTAAAATGCACTGACTGGGATCAGAAAAATAAAATATATATAACTTTTATTTTTATTACACTAGTATCACAGCATAGGCACACTCCACCACAATATACCGCCAATATCCTTCCATGCACTACGTAATTCTAAAAGAAAATGAGGATAATCGTGCAGAAGTTTATATTGAAATTTCCCAGTACTAATCTACTGCAGCCTACAATAAAACATGGATCTAAACTTCTTTCATGTGTCTATTCTTGTCTCTATATTATGCTTTACAAGATCCCTTAAATATTCAAAGCTCTCTGAATGTTGCTAGAAATTAGTATGTATTGTATTTCTGCATGTGTGTAGATATACATGTATATGTATGTATGTAAACATGCATGTATGCATGCTTGTATGTAAGTGTACGCATATGTATGAATGTATGCATGTAAGAAAGAATGTTTGTTTGTTTGGTGGGTGGGTGTTTGGGTGGGTGGGTGGGTGGGTGGGTGGATAGGTAGGTAAGTAGGCAGGTAGATAGATTTGTAGGTAGGTAAGTAGATAGGTAGGTAGGTAGGTAGGTAGGTAGGTAGGTAGGTAGGTAGGTAGGTAGGTAGGTAGGTAGGTAGGTAGGTAGGTAGGTAGGTAGGTAGGTAGGTAGGTAGGTGCATAAGTGGGTGGGTGGGTTTGTTTAGTTAGGTAGGATGGTAAATAGGTAGATAAGTAAATGGGTTGGGTTGGTAGGTGGGTAGGTAGGTAAGTAGGTAATTTTGTAACTAGATACTTTTGGTTAACAGTAGCTAGGCAGGATGGTAGTTTGGAAGACAGATGTGTAACTATGCCCTACAGGTATGCAGGAAAAAGGGTAAAGAGGTACATAATTTTTTTGTGTGTGTGTAGGCCTACGTATTCTTGTATTCTTGCGGCTATAACAGTACATATGCATGTCTTTACCTAATATGTGTGTGTGCTTGTGTGCAATTGCATTTGTGCATATTTTCTCTATTTCATACCTATCAGCTTACATTACCTTTATTATGCAACTAATGAAGTAAACTTTAAAATAATAATAATATAATATACTTTAAGGCAACTTACATATAACTATACTGCATTATCACAATGTGTTAAAAAAACAATAGTCTATGTTTGGGAAGACGAATAACAATATCCATAAATGTAACACACATTGCCTTCCTATAAGAAAACAATAAGACCGTGACAAACAGTATCAAGAACTGGTGATGTGAGTAATCAAAAAGAAACATAAATATCATAGTTTCTTCTGATACCATTCGATTCTGCCACACTGGTTTCCATTTATTTAAAGCATCCTTGAACTTTTTTTCCTCTTTCATTACCCATATTGTTCACCTGTTAGTAAATTATGCACGACAATCAATACACTCAAAGTGCTAAGTACTGTGAAATGTATTAAAAATACATTTTGAATATTTCTTTGAGCTGTGGGATGAATATATTTTGCATCACAAAAATCTTTTGCATCACAAAGTCATCTTCTTGTACTACATTATATCTTACTGCCTAGTAATAATACTGCTAACAAGTATCTATTTTTAGTATCACGGAACAATAAAATGGAAGGAATGTCATAATCAGGTTTGTGCTAGTTTTAAAAGTCAAAAATACATTTACTAGTGAAAGAAAAGTCTCCTCTTTGTGAATGAAAGTCCTGAACACTTTCTCTACCTATTACAAATCATCCAAAGCTATCATAAATATTATGATGAAGATCAAAATCCTTTACAGAATTCTAGATCGTAAACAAAATAAATTTGAAAGAAAACTTTCAACGTTATGAAACAATGACAGGAAAGAATCATCATAGGTTAAAACTCTTACTAATATCAGCTAGTATCCTACTTTGATTACCAACTTTACAAAGCTCATGAGATCTGAAGAAGTTTCCTTAAAATTCATCATGGAAGCTCTTTGCAGCATCCACCATCTTGCTTCTCATGAAGATCTCTCTCTCAGCCAACACCTCGACGAGAGTAAGGACTCCATCTTGGTTACTGTCGGCTGCAGCTAGAAGATTCACTGCTTCCTTTTCCGCATGGTGCACATTGCGGGGATCAATATAATGCTGTGGGAGAGAGCAGATAGTTAAACCTAATATCAAAGGAATTAAAGTTCACTTAATTTTATTTCTTGAAAGTGCAAAGAACAGTAATAAACATAGAGGGGAAGCTATCAGTATCGAGTAATTAACATGATCAGTATCCCAAACATATACCCACAGCTTTTTTCTTTAAGAACAACTTACCAACAGTTCTTTTCTCTCAACTTTGCCATTTTTATCTAGATCTGCAACTCTGAATTCATTAATCCGATCCAGCCTGAACTGCTCCTCGGTCATGTAATCAGGCACTTCATTCATGGTTGGGTCAGAAAATTCTTCTTCTGTAAGTTTCCCATCTTCATCAACGTCTAAAAAAGACGAGACCAATTAAATACCAAATATGTACAAAACAAAAATAAGTGACAACAACAAGAAACTGTCCGGTAATATAAATAAATAAAATACAAGCAAATATCCTTGCAAAATATCCTTGCAAAATATAATATCTCACCTAATCTCCCTATGGTTTCCTCCACGATGCTAAGTATTGTCGCATGGGAAGATTCTGGGTGTCTGAAGGCCAAAAACTCATCGATGGTCAGCTGGTCTGGGTTGTCTCTGGCAGCTTGAGACCACGATGCCTTGTCCCTCATGATGGCTTCTGTATTATAGGAGAGTAAGAGAGTAAATCAAAACTTAAATGCAAGTGAGAAAATGAAAATCTAAAAAAAACCTGAAAATATGTTTGAAATCATGAATTTATTTGTGATAATATTATTTGTAAAGTGCAAGCAACTTAGCACTTACATAAAACTTTTGACATGTTAACCCTTAACCCATTGCCGCCGGGGATGGCATGTACGTACATGCCATGCCCACTGTGAGTCGACTTGTTCGATTGTTTTTACACATAGATGGCTACATTTGTACTTAGTATCCAATGAGCCAATTACGAGTACTGCCTGTCTCGCCCGTTCACCCTTTTCATCGATTTACGAGAATATTTAACGTTATCCTAATTTGCTGTTAAAAATAACACCATCTATATTTGTAGCACTAGTAAAAATACGTTTTTTCCTGCCAATTCAAAGAAAGGTGTAATCAGGACTAGCAGAGCCATCTATGGACAGAGATATTTCACAAAAATCTAAGAAATGAGTACTGCATTTCCCCCCTTTTTTGTTCATTTTCCCCAGCAGCAATGGGTTAAAAAGATGGCAAGTGATCAGAGCTGCATGTGCACACAGTAAGAGAAATGCGCCTTTTTCTGTCTACTTTAATACAATAATTTCAACTCAACATGAAATATTTGACCTTTTTAAAAGTCTTTTACTGTTTTATCTACTGTGCACACCTGAGAGTGATAACTGCCACATTTTTGTAAAAAATCCTTCAGTTAAACTTGGTAAAAATAAATAAATAGATAAACAAAAATATACATCAACAAAACATCAAAAATATCTTCAGGAGCTCTTAAGAAGATTCTCATCTCCTATATGCTGCTGTGTAATGTGAAGCCTTCATAACTGACAGTAATATCATAGTGTGATGGACAGCAATACCCAGCATACCTGAAGTCAGCAGAGGCAAGTGAAATACTAATTGAAACTTGTCCATACATGTGCAGAAATTCATACAAAGGAAATATAATCAGAAAATTGATTTGACTATATTAACATAAAGCAAAGATTCAGCAGCTAATTTTTATTAAAGAGGGGAAAAAGCAGTTCAATAATCTTCAGGAGAAAAGAGAGATTAGGGAAAAGGCAATAGAAGTGCTTTGTCACCAGGAATTTAATTACTAGGTCAACCTAACCTAACCTATTTACCCCATTCTAGTTCATTAGTACTAGATATAAAAATTTCTTTCCCCCTCAAAAAATCAAGGAATGGGGCATGCATGTGAGGTCCACTTGGCCAAGTAATTGACTCCTTGGTAGCTATGGATTTGTAGAGCCTTCTATGTGTAAACAAAACTGAGAAAACAAAAAGACAGTAGACAGTACATGTACCCAGTGTAAGGGTCACACAATAACAGTGAAGGCTGCTCTCTGCTCTGTGCATTATATAAGCAAAGAAATTTATGACTTTAAAGTTAAAGTGGAGCTAAACCCTCATTTCCCAATGCTTTTACTGAATATGGTAAGGATAGGGGAGAAAAAAAACACTTCTATTTGCAGTTAAAACTATCATTAATTCCAAGGACCTTGATGTTAAAATTGGTCCAACTGCAAGTGCACTCTGATTATTACTTAGCACTATTGGGTAGGTGAAGAGTTGGCAATACTAATCAATTATTATTAATAATCCAGATGTTATGACCATTTCATCATGAAAAAATCTGGCTTGAGGGATGCCATTGTGGAAAAATTTAGCTATGAGTGCACAAACCTCTTGGAGGATGAGTAGAGTCATTTAGCATTTAGAAAGGGGATTTTGAATTATTTCAATTGAGTGTGGAATATGGAGTCCTGTGAGCCATGACTGGAAGAGTGCCGGCTCCATGGAGAACGCCATTTCAATACTCAACATCCAACCGCGACTGGTGGCGCAGGTTGTATTACAGAAAATTGAATATCACAAAAAACAAAACAAAACAAAAAAGAAAATGTTACTTATTGATATTATTCTTGCAGTGAGTTATGGACTACTCAGAAAGATCATATGGAGTCTGTGCAAGGAAAAGTCTATTACCATCTGGATCAAGCAAATTACATGACAAATATGGATATTGGAAAATGGCAAAAAAGCTAAAAATGCTCATGTGTAAAAGGAGAAAATAACATTGCAAAGGGAAGGCATAGAGTCTGTCACTGCACATAAGTGTTAGTGTGCACCCAGCCTACAAGCCGCACTCTATGCTATGCTCTCTGTGCATATCTATGCCTGTACAGGAAACAATGGATGCACCATTTCAAGAAGAATCATCTTACACAACTATTCTCTATTATTTTCTAATTATATCACCTATTTGAAGTCAGCATAAAATTGTTGTTCATATGCACCAACAAAAAATATTATGTCCAATCCTTCATTTGGCATAAGACTGTATGACAGTATGACTTTTTGGTACAGAAAATTCAATATTCTTACTAGTCATCGGCACTGGGAAACCATAACAAAGCATTCATGGCATGATGCAAATTGATCTTAGAACAGATTTAGAGGTATTGCATATTCACACTTTGCACAACGAGGCATTGCCTTTTGGACACAAGTTCTTATAGTATACATAAAAGTTGCAGATAGTTAGCTGACTCTGTGATGGATAATTTACAGCAATGTGTGAAATTCTGACAGTGTTAACTCAGTTATCCAGAAACTGTTTGGGCCTTCTATCAATTAAGGCTAATACACTCATACAAGTTCTATTCTGAATGCAAGCACAAATCTCATGGACACTGATCAAAACCTCCTTGAAGTTATCTTTAATCATAGTGAATAAAGCTCTAATGTTCAGCCCTCATTTCTAAGTTCATTCAGCATCTCGTTCTCACTTAATATACCATCTTAGAAGTCATTATCAATAAATGACTTTATAAACCAACCAACAGGATCTTTAGTAACAGCTTGTTATTAACAGCCTATCATAACCTCAACCACAGCCAAAATATCTGCTCCTTGTCTAGTATTACCAATTATTTTAATAAGGTTTCCTTGGGTTATGATTTGTCAAAAAGATGCCTGCCAGAGAGGGTTGTATTTTAGGCACTGCCTATAAAATTTCAGCCTGATGCTGTTAGGGATGGTAAGTATGAACACACCTACCACACCTGTTTACCTTTTCCTTGATTTTCAGAAATACTTAATTTATTTCATATTGCTATTAGTATTGCTAATGATGCTGTAATAATCATAATCATCATAACAACAATAAAACCAATGATATCAATAGCATTTGAAAAAAAAGCAAAAAAGTCAAAGAAGGGGTAAATAGGTGAAAGAACATCAACTACTAAATGACTCCTTGGTGGCTGAACACTTCCTTTTATCATTGATTTCCCATTCATGGCTTGAAGATATGACAATTTATTTGTGAGTAAAAAAAAAAAATATCCCACAATACTTTTATGGAGACCATTCCACAAGGAGATAAATATGGTGAAATTACTATAAAAATAATGACATCTCACATAATTCTTTTACTTTTTAATGATATGTGTGTATTATGCCCGCCAAATGGGGGAGAAAGTGAGAAAAAAAATATTCTCTTTGTGAGCCAATAGCTAATTCAATTTCATTTTGAATAAAAATATATTTTCTGTACATCTGCATCAGTTTCCTAAAAGCCAAAATGAAAAGAGAAAGAAAATCAATGCATCTTTAGTACATATTCAACAAAATTTAAATTGGTGAGGAGTTTGTTTAGTTAGAATATAAAAAGAGCTGTATACAATTTTTTTCTTTTTTTGTTCTTTGTATTTAGGGATTTCCTGGTGTCCAAAAAATTGTAATATTAATACACATAAAATATAACAAAATTACAAGTGTGGTTTATGCCCTTCTTAAGGTCCCAATTCATTGCCTAATATTAGCGAGGATCATTCCTTAGATGAATGGGTATTCAGAACTAATGTTATATCAATATAGATTCTCCTA